ATAAAAATAATTATGATTTTCTGATGTAGATTAAAATAATATGTTGTTTAATTTACTTAATGATTCAGTGGGTTGCACTGGACCTGCTAATGATGCCACTTCTGCAGCTCCTAAGACATAAAATGTTCTTGTAAACACATTATAAATAGTAATTTTCAAATGACTCTAGTGATATTGATATGATGGTATTTCATCACAGTATCACAACTTTAGAATATGATTTTGTGATGCACGTGGATTACTAACCTGGATCGGACAATCGATTCTTAAACCAGCAACTATAACTATCATCATCACCTTTTAGTACATCGCATTTTGGTCGACATTGAATACATCTGGCAGAAGATTTATCTTCTTTAGCAATACAGTAACATTGTTCATTTTTGCTGGGACATTTGAATGCAAAAATATGATGATCATCAACATTGAGATCCTTACTGCTTCTTTTGATAGCTTCTGTGACTAATTCACAAATTTCTGGACAAGATGCCTTGCAATCATCAAAACGTATTTCGATATGTGTATAGCAATTGATGATATCTATGTAGTATTTTTCGTAAACACAAAGTGACATTGCATCATGATATCTGTAATATTCTTTGCCTACTGGACAAAAGTCTACTATATCCCTTTTCTCTAAAAGGTGTACAATGGTTAGAGGAAATAATCCTTGAGGAATGGCTAGAGTTGTTGTGCCCCTATTGCAAATCTTCCATGCTATCAGAAGTGGTCGTACTTCTTTTGAGGCAGGGTTGAGCTTGTTGTAAGATGGTAATGCACAAGGGAAAAAATAATCATTTTTCTTTTCCTTATTTTTGACATCAGTGATGACACGGAGATGAGTTTTTTCCCTTTCTCCTTTATTTTCTACTTCAGCAATGATGTTGAGGTGTTTTAGAAGATCAATCATGTGAGATGACTCAAAATTTTTATTAAAAATTCTCTGCTTACCAATTATTTCTAAAAGATCTTCTTTAAAAAGACCATATTTTATGAAGTCACGTGTTTCATCTGGTGAAGGAGGTGGATTAGCAATCAAATTTCGATCCTTATGGTTAACATATCTGATAGCAATTAAACGTGAAAGGACATCAAGAATTGGTTCAGGATCAACAAATATTATATTTGGTAGGACAGCAGGATAATAAAGAATGATAGTGACATTGTGTAAATATCGCAGAGCATCATCGATATCTGATTCATCATCAAGTTGAAGGGACTTACCGATCTCAATTACTTCTTCTTTAGTAAGGAAGCTTTGTTGCTTCTTTTTAGCTCTTAATTGTAGTGAAATCTCAAATGTAAACAGTCGAATCGGTAACTTAATTGTCATGGCAACTCTGCAATGAGAAATTGTAGTACAAAGATCTACACTAGCTTCTTCTCTTTCCTTAGACCCAGCAGGGAGCAATGTATTAACTGGAAATATAATTGAACCTTCATCCTCATTTTGCTTAATGAGATTGTTAAAACCTTCATTTACAAGCTTCTTATTCATATTATCCAGTTTATCAAGCGTAC